TAATAATTCATAAAAATGTCCGTGGTGTGAATTTGTTTTCTGTGTCGAGTGGGTCGGATCCGGTTAGGTTGCATTCACACTTCACTCCTTTTATTTGTTCAACTCGGTTCATATTTCCCTTTTACGTTGTGTGAGTGTGGGCACATATTTCTCTGAGATTAAAAGTGTCTGTTTTAGTGTGTGTGTGTGTGTGTGTGTGTGTGTGTGTGTGTGTGTGTAGGGAGGTCACAACCTATTACTCATGGTGAGCTGTGTTTACTTTCATCTAATAGGAACAACAACAGTGATGGCTTCCACCACATTATAAGTCGACAGATTAACCAAACACCAGATGAATCATGTTGGAGCAATGGACTCCTCTCATTGATTTCTGCATAGATTTAATAAGAAGCCCCCAGCAGACCAGACGATCCCCGGCTGCCATCTAAATTAAGCTCTGCAGGATGTAATCACACCTTACTCTACTAAATGGGTCGGATCAGCTCGTAACTGGAGGGCCCCAGGCAGAGTCAGGGGCCTGCAGCTTCTAACAGATACTGAGGTTTAAAGAACTAATCAAAACCTGTAAATATAAAAAACGCTTCACCTTTAAAAAAAAAGATGTTATCAGATTGCTGGCAGCTGAAAAGCTTTGTTTCTACAAACAAATAAAATATGTTTTCTACATATTTATTAAATCCACCACAGTGTGGGACGGGACGATGATCTCCTCCACCTCCTTCTGCTCCCACCGCCGTCACAACCAACCAATCAGAGACAGGAGGAGGGTCTCAGCACTGCCCATCACCTTCATGTAAATGCTGCTCATAGCTTCCCTCTTGCTCTCTGCTACACTACAGCTTCTTCCCAATAACAGAGCCTGACATGAATGCTAATGCTAGTTAGCATTGCTGCTAATGACAGATAAACACTTTTCCTGGAATGGTAAGTCATTAGCTTACCCTACTACTAGCTTTCCCCACTTACTAGCTTAGTAATGTTAATTTGTGTTATTAGTATTGTTTTCTTCTCCTCTCATTAAACTGTAAAATTAGTCCTTCAAAACAGGCTAATTTGTGTTCAGCTAAACATTCTGCTAATGCTAAAGGTAGCAGCTAGCTTTGCTAATACTGTTAGGAAAAAGGTTGTTTCACGTGAGTCATTCGGGGCTGGACTCATTTCTTCTTCTACTGTTATTTAATATCTAAACTTCATCAGGCAGATATTCATAAGCACACACTGAGAATGAAAACTATTTATTTCCCAGTAATCAGGCGGTGCCCTGACTTGGTAACTTTGATATAATTACTAATTTTGTTAATAATTACTGCTGACATTTATTAATTGGCAGTCTTTGCCCAACCAGACCTTCAGCTGCACAGCAGCCCTGATCTGTGGATGCAGAGAGGCTGGAATGAGGAAAATAAATACCAACAGCCATCAAGGAAAGTCTTTGAGGAGAAATGAAATATTTTCCCAGAATCCATCCTGCTTTGCCTTTTTTCTAAATATAATCAGTAATGTTTCTGTCTGCGTGTTTGTTCACTCGTTAGCTATTAAATATTAAATCATGTTTAGTTTCGTCCGTCAGCCATGAAGCTCCAGATCAGAATCTTCCAGCTGCTTCAGCCGCAGAAACCCGACCAGACTCTGAAACGTCCTGCAGCCGTCGTCTGCCTGCAACATAAAGCTGCAAATAACAGGGAGACACTTCAAACAGCATATGTTGGGATAATTAGCAACCCAAACAATTAGCATTTTAGACACCTCACCAATTATTTTCAGTTCTGTTCCAGAGAGGAGGAGGCGGAAGGAGAGATGAAGAGGAGAAATGAGGAGCGACTGAAGACAAGCAGAAGGAGCCAGACAGGAGAAGGAAATTTAAAACATTCTCTTTTTTTCAGGGCAGAATCACATTTTTTTTATTTAAGCAGGAAGGTGAAAAATACTCAGGAATATTAACTGATGGAGGAAACAAGTGGTTGTTTCCTCTTGTCAGAACCAGACAGAACCAGAGTCTCATCTATCAGAACCGTCATCGTCACCTTATGTTTAGAACATGTTCAGATTCAGTTAAAATCATGTTGAGATCAGGTTCATGTGCTGAAGGCTCTACTTTATCTGATGCTTTCATACTGAGCAGTCCTCAGCTTTCTGATTGGCTGCATCTTGACCAGCTATCCTCTCATTGGTTCAGAGAGCCAACAAAATGTTTCGAAACACAATAATTTAGTTTTGATATATTCAGCAGTCCAACAGTGAAAATGTTTGATTATCCGTCTTTTCCTCCAGTCATTCAGATCCGTCTCAACCTGAACCGAATCAATTCTGACAGACTTTAGGGATGATTCACACCGGCCCAGTTCGGTCCACTTTAACCAGTCTGTCTGCCTAGTCAAAGTCCGGCCCAGTTGGTGAAGTGTGAATGCTAACTGACCTCTGACTTCTGGTCCTCCAAGTCTCGGTCTGGGTTCGGTTGAAGTGAACTCTGGTTCGGTTTGAATGTGAAAGCCAAGCGGACCAGAGACCGCTCCAAA